ATGTCTCCACTCTTATAGGGCTACATTCATAGGGCACTAGGACAGCATGTGACTGAAGAACCCTCAGTGTCTTCAAGTTTCAGCATCATCAGGTCCCCTCATTCCTCAACACCCCCTGACACCATCTAATTATTCTCCCTCTTGTTGATTTTTCTGCAAGATGTCCACTTCCCCAGATACCCTTGCAGCTCCCACCCTCTCTTCCTTCAAGTCTCTGCACACATGTCATCTTATCTGACAGTTAATGGTACACATGCCCACTCTCTCATTTCTACATACTTTCATTGTCTTCAAAGCATCTGTTAATATGTGATGTGTCACACAATTATTGGTCATACTAGCCACCAATAATTGCTAAGTATTTTAGTTTTTTAGAAACTTGAATATTCATTACCCAGACAGTACATGGAATTTGGTGGTCTTTCAGTGTATATTATACAAATGATATAAAAGTTTTGAGAAAGGTTGAGAAGGGGAAAGAAATTCCCAGTTAGACATAACCATAGAGGGTGGGGGGGGTGTGCTAAAGGGGAGAGGAATGCAGCACACACTTGGTTATAAGAGCCAGAAGTATTTGGCTTACAGATCACACATACAAACAGGCAGTCTCATATGTTGGTACTGGGTTTCCTGAATGGGATAAGAGCTTAGGTAAAACGAAGGTCTCAGTCCATTTCTGAATTGCTGTCATCCCATGGGAAAAATGTATGTTAGAATGGGGTCTCAGAGCCCAGAGAGAGAAGCACTTCCTACTGCCCTACTCAGCCCCTGCTGCTTTCATGGGGATGGCACCCAGCTCCCATCAACTACTGGGATTTGGAAGAAGGTGGCTAAAGAATAGGGAAAAGGACAGGGAAAAATGAAACACCTCCCAAGGCACAGAAAAATTAGGGTTTGGGGGTTGGCTTTGACGGCTCAGAAAGAAGGCACTGGTCTAAGCTACATTTGGTGTTAGCAAAACCTTCCTCTTAGTGCGAGACACATCTGTCACCATGTTCTCCAGGGAAATCCCCACCACTATGTCATCCCTATCAACAGGGAGGGTAGTCTGGCCAATTTGCAGATGCACTCCAGGTAATCACTTAGAGAAAGCTACAGAGCACTTTCGAATCACTAAATGTTACAGAAAAGCTAAACAATAATCATGCAAAATGCCATGGCAACAGAAAACATCTAGCTATGGAAAATAGCAGAAAGGAAGTGAGATAGTCTTTTTTGTTTATTTCTTTTTTTTTCTAGGGCCATGCTCTGTGTCAGAACTATTCGTTTTCTTTGTTTTTTTTAAAATCTTACCACTATCAGTAAAGAAAAAAGAATCATCCTTCTCAAGCATCAATTTTATTATCTCCTACTATTTCTGAAATTCCAGCATGGCTTCCTACTGCCCTTCCAATATAACTTACAATTTCTATTACTGTTACAAGACTTTCTCATTCCTTAGTCACCTGTCCCTGTATATGTTTAGTATGCCAAGGACTGAGCCTCTTCCATGTTTGTGCGTGGTGTAATACCAGGAGTGTGCTCTGAATGTAATGAAGCTCACCTTTTCCAATATAAGACAAAGGAAATGGGGCGACACCCCCACAGCCTGGTGCTGAGCTAGACTGAGGATCATACAAGGCAAGGACGTCACAAGAACAGCTGTCACATACTCCGAAAAGATGACTCTGTGTTCAAGTCTGTGCCTCTAAGAAAATGGAGTCTTAATTTGTAAAAGAAAGGAATATGCTTCCACAGTAGGGTAGGGACTCAGGATGAAGAGGATAGGGCCAATTTTCCTAAACAAAATGGAGACCCCGAACCCCCAAAGAGTAGTTTTATCATCCTGTTCAGAATTTCAGGATACCAACTATCTGGCCAGTGGGAAACTCCCAGAGAGACTCTGTGTGTTCATGCCACATTTCACTTACTTTAGAAAACCTATGTGAACACGAGGAAAACTGTCGAATTTCCACATTGAAGTCCTCATCATTTGTGTCATCCTCTTCCTCAGTTTCCATATGATGATACTTCTCTGATCGAGCTACAGAGAAATGATTGGGAACAGTTCCAATTACTCAGAATTTCAGTTTTTAATTTAGGTATTTTAATTATGAGCTTCTGTATCAAATCCATGTCTCATTTAAGAACTCATAGGTATGAGGTCAGAAGGTTCAAAAGTGGAGATCATTTATTATAAAATAAAGGCAAAACCAATATATCATGTAAGATAATGCACATACTATCAAAATAACTTGTGTCATCTTCGGATTCCAGTTGGGGAATAAATTCTGCCTTCTGTCTCAACAAACTGTTCCAGTCTAAAGAACGGAAGAATCGATGCTGTTTGACTTCGTAAGCACCACCTGGACAGGGCAGGGAAGACGGAGAAGAAGGTGTTCAACTACCCTCCAAGCGAAGGTAAACATCAGTTTTTAAGAACAATTTAAAAATGTATCAGCAGAAGAATAAAGAAGTCATGAAAACAATACAGTTTCATTCTATATCCCCAAGTCCCCCCCAATTTCCCATAATTTATCAGCAGGAGATCTGATTTTGCTAATAGCAGTTGCTCTGCTACAGTTTCTCTTTGTTAATTTTTCCATGACTTCCTCCATTTTTCAAAGGTTAATGATGTGGCCACTTAAAATCACATTATGCTGAACCTGGGGACATGGATGCATATTGGCTCAAAGCAGACTCACTCATTACAAACCCAAAGAAATTTTAACAAGGTGCAAAATGTGTTCATAGCAACATGTCCTCTAGAGGTAAGGTTAATAATAATGATTTTTTCTGAAATACTCTATAATGGTGACCATTCAATTTTATTGGATTGCTCATTAACACAGGTAGGAATTAAGATTCTGTGGGTTACAGATCCTGAAGTAAGAAACCAACAATCCTGTTTGATTTATAATGCATCCAATAAAAATCTCACAGTTCCTAAGTTTTAGGCTTCTTTTTGCCAAGTCAGCATGACAGCACAGTGAAATGCTTTTAATTCAGTCCATGATTTTAAAGAGCGATTTTGAAGGGCAGGACCCATAAAAAATATTAACAGTACAACCCATGCACACATAAACAGGTGCACATTGTAAAATCGCAGCATAAGAATCGGGCCCGCCCTACACACACGTTGATGAGGGAAACTGTAACAAAGAGTTTTCTCAGAAGACTGATACCAGAATCTAAACAGCCTCCCTGCCAGGAACTTGCTCTAGGTGTAATGTAAAATGCCTCTTCCTTGCAGTTGTCACCCATGTCTCTCATCCTTGTCCCCAGTGAGCTACAAAAGGAACAGGATGAGAAATGCAAGCTGAATGGAAAATGGGCTGTGGATTTTGGTGTGTGGGGAGGGGGTGCTGTCTGTGTGGGCCAGACATGAGGCTCTGTGTCCCTCTAATGCAACACACGGTGTAGCTCTGGCTCCCCATTCAGCCGGGGTAACTGGTTTCTGAGAACAATGATACGGAGAGAAAGGCACAGAGCAGAGAAGTCATCCCTAAAAAGGGAAGAATGGCGTCTTCTTGACAAAGCACTTGATTAGAATATTTATGCAAGATTCTATTCAGGCTTTTTTAAAGGTGCTAGTCAAATATTGAAGTCTGATATGAATCCCAACAGCAGCAATATTAGGAGACATGATCTGAGGGCTGACTTTGTGACAAGGATTGTTTCCTTTAATTAAGTCACTGAAAATAATCCCACAGCATAGGCATTACTGACCCCATGTTTGGATAGGGAAACTAAAGATGAGTGATAAAGCACACTGGGCCAAGATCCTCCAGAGAGTAAGGCCTGTCTACAAACACCCAGGCCCAACCTCAGCGTCATATTACCACATCCCAACCACGTAAGGAGGAGACATGTTTCGGTATGCTGCTGCTCCATCATCTCCTGTATCGGTTTATAAATAGACTACACATACAGCAACTGTCACGGTCCCACTCTGGCTCTCACCTAGCTCCATCCAGTCCCCCAAACACGGCTGCCAATGTCATTCTCCTCTAGTGCTCTTTGACTGAGATACACTCAGAAACAGAAATGTTTCCCTATCAAAATTCCTCACTTTGCTGACAACACTGATGCCGAAACACACACCTGTAGGAGCCCTCTTTGACGAAGGTTCTCAAATACCACACTGACTATCACTTCAGCTGCTGCTCATAAGACCAGACCACTGTCACAGCTCTAACATTCTGGGCTGCTCAACGTTACCCAGAAAAGCAGTGTCTCTAGAGCCAAGGCCTCACACGATACTTGCAGACCAAATCCAGAGTTTCAGGGTTTCACCCTCCTGCCTGCCGTCTCTGGGACCCAAGCTGGTGAGAGCCTTCCTTTATGTTTATGGATGACAGATGAGTCACCGCCCCTCAAATTCACAGCCCATTATAGTTCCAGCTCACATTTCTCACCCTTTGGCCTTGTGTCCCACTGAGAAGAAGCTGGTTATCAGTGGGTCTTGTTTCTCATGCTCTTTTGGAGAGCTGAGAAAGAAAACAACTAAAGCAACAATCTGAGAAAAAATGATCTCTGGACTGAACTGCGGGTAATATATTGGAGACGGCACTAGGAACGAAAAATACAAACCACTCATGCAAATGACAGCTCCCACTGTAAGAATGTACCACGGCGGGAGGGAAACTGATGATTTCCTGAGCTCCTGTTATACACCACGGTCAATGTCGTAGACACTTTCATGCATATTTTTTGCATTTAATTCTCAAGGAAATCCTATGAGATGTATAAAATGGCCATTTTCATAGTCTTGGAAACTGAGACTGACAGTAGCAGGTAAGACTTGCTCTGGTACACGGGTGACAGTCACATCGCACTAGCCCTATGTCCAATGAGCCAGGAGGCTGCCATTCAATATTTCACAAGTTCCAAAGTATAGTTCCAGTAGGACAAGTTCCCAAATGCAAGTTATGCTTTGGCACTAACATTCTCCCTTGAGTTTTTCTCTCTTTTCATGAAAAGTTTCTGAAATATCCATTATGTTCTTCACACCCTTTTTCTCAGCCTCTAGTCTCTCGGGCAAATGTGCATTCGCACATTTTCACGGTGCATTATTTTGCCCGCTAAATATGCATTAAATACAAAATGCTGTCATTGAAAGCAGCATGGCAGGCCTGCGGGATTCTCAGCCTCATTCTCTGGGCCCTACTGGGACCTGTCATGTTGGACCTGCCTGTTTGGCAAGTACATCTTGACAATCCAAAGAGCTTGGACAGGGCCTTTTAAATGTCTCTTTTGGGCTTCTGCTAGGAGATTTGTTCCTCAGACTGTCAAAACCCTGAAAAGACTGAAAGTTGCAGTCAATGAGAAAATGTGCAGAAAAATGATTTGCAGCACATGATATGTACACACGGATGTGCCGACCATCATCACAGCCTTGTCCCACTAAATTAAGCCCAATCAAGAAGCCAGATGGTATCCGAGGATGGAAATGAGTACAATGCTATGTGAAAAAACTCTTTAAGCTGACACTTGACCACTGAAAGTGAGGGGACTTTTGTGTCTCCTTTAAAAGTGGTGTACACATTTTTAAAACACTTTTAATCAGATGCAGGCATGAGGATTCTCTGGGTCAGTTGAACAGCCTGTATAAGTAGATGCACTACTGCAGGACACTAAAAAAATGACAATGTTCTTTTGTTTTGTTTTTGAGAGGTTTTCGCTATAGGGCGCGTGCGCTCGCCAGATAGACAGAGAGAGGGCCATAGAGACAGAAAGCGAGAAATCACCCCCCCGGGGGGATAGTCACGCTGCAATCCCTTCTCCTCCATTCTCCTCTCAGGATCTTGGGCACGCACGCACACACACCCAGTGTGAGTTCTAAGCCACCGGGTCCGGGACGCGAACCGCGGTCGACTACGTGGGAATCCAGCGACATAGCCATTACACTAACTGCTGGTTCCTGACAATGTTCTTCATAATTGATTTAAGTGAGTAAAAATCACTCCTTAAAACTCTGCCCATACACGGGTTGGAATGCATGACCCTTACAACGATGCTCATCTCTTGAACTGGAAAGCAAACCTGAATTCAAGCCACACAAGATGGGAAACAACAATCTGCTACACTGCAGAGATGTGGACAAGTGATCAGAACAGGAGAAATACAAATATTCAGTTCAAAGAATTCAATCAGCTCAGAAGTAGGGGTACTACCAACTTTTTTATGTTTCCTATATCCAAAAAGGACAGTGAGAGAGTATATACACAGAATATGAAAAACAATGGTTCCTGGGATCAGCAGTTAGTGTAATGGCTATATCACTGAACTCCCATGTAGTCAACCACGGTTCAAGTCCTGAACCCGGTGGCTTAAACTCATGCCAGGTGCATGTGCGTGCATGCCCAAGATCCTGAGAGGAGAATGAAGGAGAAGGGATTGTGGCATGGCCATCGCCCCGGGGGGAGGGGTGATTTCTCACTTTCTGTCTCTCTTTCTCTGTCTTTCTGGTGAGTGCACACACCCTATAGCAAAAAAAAAAACAAAAAAAACAAAAAAAAAACTCTCCAACAAACAAACAAACAAATAAACACCAATGGTTCCAGCAGTGACAGGAGCATGCCTGATTCTAAGAGTCTTCCCAGATGGTCTCTTTTTCTCCTTACAATAGTCCCATGAGGTGATCCTTCTAAAAGCTGCTTTTGACAGAAGAGAAACAGAAAGGGAAGTAACATACCCATGGTCAGACAACAAGATTTAAATTCAGGCACTCTGACTCCAGAGTCTACACCCTTCACCACAATTCATTTTGGCTTTCCAAGTTAAAGATCACTCATCCGCTGAAAAAGGCAAGGAGGCACGTGGTGTTCCAGCAAGAGGTGCAGCTCAAAAAGGCGTCCCAGTTAAGCTCTGATTTTAAATGATGCTGGATTCTCTAATGTGGGGTCTGCACTACTTCTGTGTAAAGTGTCAGCTATTAACAGTATGTACTTCAGTCATTGTGGGCCAGTCTGTCATAGCTACCCAACTCTGCCACTGTAGCATGATGCCAGCCATACGCAATATGCTAAATGAATGGGTATTGCTCTTGCAACAAACTTTACTTCCAAAAGCCATCAGCGGCCCTGCTCTGGCCCCCAGGTCATAGGTTGTGACCCCTACTCTAATGCAACTGGACTGCAATAACACAGCATTCCATATTTCGGTAAGAACAGAGCTCTCTCACAGGGGGCTTCCTGGCAAATGTGGAGAACAACTTAAGACAAGTATGTGAAACTGCTGCAAATGATTTTTGTCTTAAACAAGGAGAAAGATCTGTTTCTTCAGTATTTTCTGATATTTCTGTTAAAATGGGGTAAAATCAAACAGCTCAGAGTAAACGAGCCATCAAGCCAACAATTTTCACTGATGAAAATTATGGATAGTAGAAGGCTAGAGTGTGTACGTTTACATTTATTACTTTAGTCTGATCTAGACAAATCCACACACTGGGTCAGACTAGGAGTCCACACTGGAATCTTTAAGTCTGTCTATTAAGAATACAGTGAAGAGAAAGAAACAAAACATGGCTAGCCAAACAGGAAAAATAACCAGCAAGAAACAAATCTATAATCTCCCTAATCTTGAAAGGCAGTGTTTCTTAATGTCCTTTATTGGGTCATGGTGCTGATCACCATGATAGGGCAGCCTGGTTCAACCCCAGGCAGTCATTTCTAATAATTAGTTTAAGTACTGATAACCCATTTCAAAGCCTGCGGATAGTAATACATGGAGCAAGTCTTTATGGGAACATATATTAATAAAACAAAAACAAACAAACAAGAAAGAGCTCCACATTGAATCCCCTGTTTCAAATGATACACGAAACATGCTTTTTAGGACAAAAGAGATACATGTGCCCTTGAGGTTTTCTTCCAGAGAAATGTTATTTATTGAAATGAATTAGGAATAATTTCTGCTTTATAAAACACAAAAGTAAAGACAAACCACCATCCTAGGGTACATATTGCTCTGAATCTAAAAACAGACTCCAAAATATTATTGCTATAATGTGCTGTAGACCTGTTCTACATCTACTAACAGATGTTGCCCGTGCAAAAGCAAAACACAAACAGCAGCCTCAGATCGCTTCACAAAGACGTTATTTCTTGCATATTAGCAAAATTAAAACACATGTGCTCTAACCTGTTCCCAGTCTCTCCAGGGGATTCTGCCTGAGAAGCAAGGTAATCAGATCCTGGGCATCTGGTGGTGGGGCCTCATCCTTTTCAGGCCAGTTAATCTCATCTGGAAGGAAGAAAAGTAGTTTACAACTTTATTTGTGCAAAAGGTGGTCCAGGCCCCTCAGCATGGACATCATCTGGGGTTTGTTAGAAATGCAGCATTTCAGAACTTCTGAATCAGAATCTGAATTTTACAGGATCTTCAGCTGATTCATCATGTTTTCATCTTCAGTTGATTTCTGTGCACAGTCCAGTTTGAGAAGCACTGTTTGATATGACATGACATGAATAGCACAGCTTTCTACAAGGTCAGCAGCAATGTTTCAGTAAGTACTATCTTTCATTCACTTTTTGGTTTATTGTTCTTCAACAGAATTGGCTCCCAACAAGTTGCCCCTTTTAGTTATTAAGAGGACTAACACAGAGCAGAGCACCAGTTCCATCTCTAGGTTCCTGGCCAGCAAGGGAAACTGAGTCAGGGGCACCACTACCCCCACCCCACTTCCAGGATCCCAAGAACAGGACCCCACCCCCCAGAGAGGTAGGCAAGTTTTTATTATTTTTTTTTTCTCTTTGCTCTTACTTTTTGTTTTGTTAATACCCTCCTCTCCTTTGTCCCACAGAGTGGTCCTTGCTTTACAGGAGAGTGCCAGTTCCATCTCTAGGTCCCCTCCTCTTTACTCTTTTCTTTCCTCTTACATTATCCTCTCTTCCTCATCCTCCATCCTGCCAGAGGGATTAGACAGATCTAGAATCACAGTTCTGAAATCTCTAGTATTGTAAGGTTCCCTGGGATCCTCCCCTGTACTGAACCACCTGTGAGTACGGAGATACTACTCTTCAGGCACCTGAATAGGATACACCACTTCAGACAACATTACTAAAAACAACAGAAGATAGACTTTTGTATACATTAATTCACAGCAAAAGGGACATACACTTGCTCCTAAGAGGTATTCAAAAGTGAATACATCTTCCAATGGCTTGAAGTAGAAGAAGAGGCTCAGAATAAACCAGGAAATATGTCTCCATCAAAGGAACAGAGTAACTTCCCTCCATCTCTCCTAAAATCTGAGGACATTACCAAAATGTCAGAAAAAGAATTTAGAACACTCATGGTGAGCAAATTCTATGAGTTGGAACAGAAAAGAGACAACAAACTACAGGAGATTAGGAAGTCCTTCCATGATATGAAAGAAGAAATGGACACTCTGAGAACAAATCAGATGGGGCTATTAGAGATAAAGTTTGTAATACGGGAAAGCAAAAACTCTTTTGAAAGTATTAAAAGTTGATTAGATCATGCTGAAGATCGAATCTCCAATGTAAAAGATAAAACCTCTGACCTAGAGAAAACCACCAAAAAGATAGAGAAAATAACAACAAAAAAAATGAGGATAATATACGAGAAATACTAGATTCCATAAGACGTCCAAACATCAGAATAATTGGCATCCCAGAAGGTGAAGAAACTAATAACAGCATGGAAAATCTATTACATGAAATCCTGGAATAAAATTTCCCAAGTCTAGAGAGGCACTTAAGCATCCAGACCCAAGAAATACAAAGGATCCCTAATAGAATCAACCCCAGAATATCTTCCCCAAGGCACATCTTGTCCAAGACCACAGATAAAGACATGATACTAAAACTGGCAAGAGAGAAACGAGAAGTGACTTACAAAGATCATCCCATCAGGCTAACACTGGACCTCTCAATGGAAACAATGGAAGCAAAAAAAGAATGGAAAGATGTATCGAAAGTGTTAAGAGAGAAACAATTTCAACCAAGATTATTATATCCTGCAAGATTATCCTTCATATGGGAAAAAAGGATTAAAATCTTCTCAAATAAAACCTGAGGGGCCAGCAGTTAGTGTAATGGCTATGTCGCTGGACTCCCATGAGGTCAACCACAGTTTGAGACCTAGACCTGGCAGCTTAAACTCATGCCGGGCGCGTGTGCGTGCGTGCCCAAGATCCCGAGAGGAGAATGGAGGAGAAGGGATTGTGGCATGGATAT